CCTTCCAACCAGTGAGCTTGCTGAAAGGCCATTAAACATGCTTGTATCCTTGGAATCTAACTGGCTACCCAGCACACGGGAAGCACGTAAAACATTTCTTGAATGGAAAAATATGAAAGACTACATAATGATGTAGTTTGAGTCATTCCATAAAGCAGTTTCCCCCTGAATCACTTGCCCGACAAGAATTGAGTGGAATGCCTGCGAAATGATCGATAATTTACAGTGACAATGTTAATAAGGGAAGAGAAGACACTTGTCTACCACGTACCTACAAGGTGTTGCTCAGTCGGCCTCTCTACCCCCCAGCCTTCAGCCCACACACTGGGCAGCTCAGCATTTCGCAGGCACTGCCCATACCGCCTCACCTCGACTTTGGGCTTGCTGTTCCCTCCGCAAAGTCCTTCCATCTGCTACCCAAGTGTTTCCCTCTTTCTCCCCCTGCACGTGCTGACTCAAATGTCACTTGCTCCTTGAGGCCCTTTTGCCTACCCTATTAAAAAACCCAACTCCCTTTACTGCCTTGTCTTCCTCCTCATCTCCGATCTTCATCTTGCACAGTGAACGTCCTAGTTTGTGTTCTGACTCACCTCACTAGAATTCAAGCTCTGCAAGGGCCACAGTCTGTCTCCTCCGTACACTCCTCCTTCCCAGCGCTCTCAATGTTCCTGGTACACCAGGCGCTCAAGAGCTGAGGGAACGAGGGGGGTGCAGAGACGGCGCACACGTGTGATGGAGGCTGAGGGCAGAGGCCCAGGACCAGACTGCCTGGTCGCTTCCCCGTCCCCACCAGTGAGTAACTGGGTAACTTGGGGCAAGTTACTTCAGCTTTCAAGACCTCGAATTCTTCATTTGTGGAGCAGGGATAATCATAGTATCTATATACCTCATAAGCTATAAGAATTAAATAAAATTATGATGTAGAAACTTTAGAATACAGCTTGGCATCTCATTAGCACTCAAAACATATTATCACTATTATTTTCTGTGGAAAGAAACCTTAAGATATAGTCTTTAAGAAGTGTTTCAATTACACGTAAATAAAGAAACACCTATGAGCGACACATGAAAGTTAATGTTTAGAACAAGTATTAGGTGATAATTTCCAGTTTTTAATAATAAATTTATGCAAGCATGTGAATACATGTTCCATAATTTTGCTTTCTCTCTCTCTCTCAAACTCTTGCCTGCAAAAGGCTAAAATGACATAAAATAAATGGGAAAGATTTTAAATTTCCTTTAACACTAAATATACACCAAAAGAAAGGAAAAAAAAAACTGTTTACAAAAGCACTAAGAAAAGAAACCTACAGGCTAGGCAAGTCATTACAAGTTTGGGCTGTCCTGTTGGTTTGAGAGGAATTTATCTTATTAACCCACAATAAACTGAATTCAAGCGAAGGGACGCTCTTTTGAAATGTTATCTCTCTTTTTCTGTAGAACAAAATGAAAGCCCATCTCTCTCCGAGGCCTTTCTGCGGGCTCTGGTGCAATCAGGTGAGCCCCTGAACACTCCTCTTCCCCCCGAGTCCTAAAGCACGCAGGGGCCTCTTCCACGCCCCTTACTCATCGCACTGCGATGCTCCGTGGTTGCTGCATAGACACGCCCCTGCCCTCCCGGGGCAGGGTAACGGGTCCACAGGGAAGGTGGTGTATTCTGTACACACTCTGTCACCCTGCCTGACGCAGGCTGGTCCCTGGGAGGGCAATGACATGTCTGCCTGAAGGAACACACACATCTGTCATCCACCACCTGCTGGGAACTGGTATTGCCCCCGGGAGTGGTGACAGGCAGGACACTGAACATGTCTGCGTCCAACAGGAGGTGCCCATGAAGCAGTCACTGACGCAGCTGTATAAACTGGCAATAACCATGTAAAAATCATTTACATCATGGTAAACAGATGTAGGCCTGAAAAGAGAAATGCCACAGTTTCTAAACCACTCAGCTGAGCATAGGAATTTTAATTTACTAAAATTTACTGTCACGCTCGTAGTGTTTCCTGAGACGACCATGACAAGGTGAAGGGCACAAGGACAGGGCCTCTGGTCTGAATCCCACCTCTGCCTCTTCCTAGCTGCACAACCTGGGTGAACCAACTCCTTGGTGAAGGCTTTCTCATCTGTAAAATGGGCGCACACCTCACAAAACTACGGTGTGGGTGAAATGATTGAGAGGCAGCGTGAAACTTGTGAGCATTCACTAAGGGTGAGCTCCTACCACGGGCATTACAATCCTCATCGGAAATAGTTTTCCCCACTATCTCGCCTTATTTGAGTGGCTTAAAACACACGCATACCTCAAAGAAGCGAAGGTACTTTGGGCGTGCCCATCATCTGGCTTTACAGAAATCTCCAGGTTTGATGAAATAGAATCACTCCACTGGGCTCAGTTACAGTCCTTACTCGTACTCACTTTACAGCTTCGAGAAAATGGCTGTTTGAACTCTGGGCCTGGTTTTCCACTTAGTTCTCTGAAAGAATTTATTGAAAACCCCAGGCTGGCTGGGACATTCCTGCCGCTCACCTTTCAGCGGAGTAACTTGGTATGAGTACAGAGGATATCCATTTGGTTTCAATTTCTAACACACAAGCTCGTCATTGTACAGTAAATGGCAACATGCTTGAAGCGCTCTGAAGGCACATTGTTTCTGCTCCTTGATTTCTGTGCTACTTTTAACTCTGTGGCGATTGAGTTTCCTGCCCCCTACAACAAACGCCTCTCCATTTCTTGTGAGCATCCAAACAAGTTAGTTGCTGTTGACTTTTCAAAAACTTAATGCAGCATGATTGAGTCTTTCAATGCCCACCATAAAGCTTCTGGTCACATATTTCCCCTCCTCCCCCCATTTATATATGGAAAACCACCAGGTAAAGTATAATTTAGTTTTAACTCATTAAAAACTCTGAATGTATAACTTATCAAGCTTGTTTATCCAGGTTAATAAGAGCTTAATAAACTTCCCTGTCTTTTCATTAAAGACTGAACAGACCTACTTTGCCTCTTTACAGAATGACATTATGCCGCATACAGTAAAGGGACTTTAAAAAATGATTCAGCCCAAGCCGGTGTGGCTTCGTGGATTGAGTGCCAGGCTGTGAACTGAAAGGTTGCCTGTTCAATTCCCAGTCAGCGCACATGCCTGCGTTGCAAGCCAGGTCTCCAGCTGGTGGCATGTGAGAGGCAACAATCCAGGTTTCTCTCCCTTTCTCCCTCCCTCCCCCTCTCTCTAAAAATAAATAAATCTTTAAAAAAAAATGATTCATTCTTTGGTGAGACTGATCACCTACATAAACGAATCCCATCTTTTAAAACACAAGTGGGCAAAGTCAGGTTAATAATAATAATAAATAACTAATAACACAAAAATACGTTCTGTTTTGCATACTCACCAGTGTAAACCTACTTTTGCCCACCTCCGTACATCTGGGTACTGGTCCCATTTCTTAAAAGTATGAGCACTTCAGCTTTTCTGGGATTTGAGCATTGGGTGGTCCCACAGTAGCCCCTACTCTCAGAACAAGGGGAGCTCCAGAGTGCTCCTACACAGGTGCCTACAAAAGTTGACGGGACCTTCCATTCTCCAGCCCTCATGCTTCACGGACACCGAGGCTGCAGGCCAGGGAGGGTAATGGACATGCCAGGTAGCTCCCTGGCGCCAGAGTGACCTGGGAGCACAGGGCCAGGCCGTCACGGCCATGGCTCACCGGGCCACCACGACACAGGCGCTCCTAACACCCGAGCAGGACGGAGCTCCCTGACCTCTGGCCAACTCCATGGGCCTTATCGGCGGCAACGACACCAAGAATCAAAGCCCTGATCTCCCTTAGACCTCAACTCCCCAAATGCAGCCAAAGCCAAAACCAGGACCATCACGTCTCTGAACGTCTGCAGCTTCTCCTCTGTGTTTCTCCCAGACGATGAACATGCTACTCATCGTTCCCCTCCATCCGCACCCGTTCCTGGGTCTGCACCTCCGAACCTCAGGACCCGGATGCCCAGCCTGCATCTGAATAAGTCACCCCTAAAACCCTGCCGCACACTGTGGGCTTCTCCCACAGGAAGGCTGGTGACGGGACTGGAAAACACAGCCCACAAAGGCCGAGGTGTGGAGAATGGGAACTGGGTTGGCTCTATCCGTGTCTGTAAAACGTTCTCACAGGAGTGGACACATCACGCCAGCGGCCCTTTTTTTTTAAAGGCCATTCACTAGTAGTCACTATTTTTATAAGGGAACTCACTTCTAAATTTTTCTGACATCGCTCTCATTTGCCCAAGGTGCTCCCTGTTAAAATAAGGGGTGTTCCCTGCAGGGGATGTTCAGTCGGCTGGAATGGCCAGCTGGTTTTTGGTCTCGGTCCCTGCGAGATGGGCCAGCTTCTCCATTTCCTGTTCTTGTGTGTAGCACAGAAATCTGTAACTCCTGCCAACGTTAGTGAGACACTCGACCGCTACTCCTGAAGCTCTCAAATTTCATAAACCTAATACGATTTTAAAACTACTACGGCTAAAATATAAACCAATATAAATAGAAGCTCCTGCTAGAAAAGTTTAACTTTCTAGTCACTCTTATGTCCCCGAAAATTTCTAATACATCTTTCAGTAAAATTAAAGAAATAAAGAAACCTATTCTGTTTACATGTGGTAAGGGTACAGTATAAGAACTGTAATTAAGTGTTATTAAGCATGTAGCAATTTTTTTTAATTTAAAAATGAAATGATTCACATATAACAGGTAGGTGACTGAATATGTCTTTGTGTGCTTTGGAATAGCTAATAAGTGGGCTTATGCGCATACTTCTCTCTCCAACCAGCCTTTACAAGGCTCAAACACAAGGGCTGTGTTCTCGACTTCTTTTTCTTCCTTCCTAAATTCCTCAGTGACAGAGTGCATTAGTTCTAAAACCTAAACCTGCCTTTTGCTTTCTGACATGCCTAGTTTTACACGGGGATAACTCATAAACTGCTCTAAGGCACAACCGAACTACTGTATACTTACCAGAACCAGACACACGCCTGATCCTCTGGTACGATAAGGCACGATCCGAACTGAGATTTCTGCTGGTGCTATTATACCTCAGACAGGAAACAGAAGGCCCCACTTTGGCTTTGGGGCCAGGTTTCATCCTCAGACTGGAGGAGTCGGGCTTGGGTGTACTCCTACCGGTGGGGGTTGCAGTTTTTGAAGCAGAACCCTGCAAAGAAAACAGGATGTTAGTTCAGATCACACCTTCCTCGTGCGATTCCCTCGCTGCATTGGCTACACGAAAGGAGCAATTTGTTTCTATGGTGCAGTATTTTTTTAATTTATTGAATTTATTGGAGTGACATTGCTTAATAAACCTGAGTTTCTAGCCTGCAGATTTCAGACTCGAGACTACAATGTCCACTCTTCCCTGAACCTCCACCCTCCCCACACTTCAGACTGGTCAGCACCCCCAGTCGGGTGGCATAGCCAGTTCCTGAAATCAGTCTATATTACCTCTCTTTACCTATCCACACATACCGACACACCTACATTTATGTGTATCTATGTATATGTATACACACGTATACACATATCTATCTATGCACACACATACTGCTATGGACTGAATGTTTGTTCCCCCCCAACAAAATTTATAAATTGAAAACCTAATCTCCAATGTGATCATATTTGGAGATGGGGGCCTTTGCAAGTTGATTAGGTCACAAGGGTGGAGCCCTCGTTAATGGGATTAGTGCCCTTATAAAAGGGACCCCAGAGCACGTTCTTGCTATCCCTGCCACGTGAAGTTACGAGGAGAAGACAGCTGCTCCCTTGACCTTGGACAGCCCAGCCTCTAGAATTGTGAGAAATGAATGCCAGATGAATATTTAATTTTCATTCTTACTATGAAGGAATTCAAACTCTTTCAAGTATACTCTTAAAATCATCATCCGCCTTCTGTCCCCACCAGTGAAACTGTTCCCGAGATGACCAGTGCCATGCCCTTCAGGCCTTCTCTGTGGCATCTGATGACGATGAGTCCATCTTTCCCAGGTTTACCCAACACGGCTATTCCTGGTTTTCCTTCTACCTACCTACTTATTCCTTCTCTGGACCCTGTTCTGCTACACCTTTCCATGCTAGCCATCACGAGGGTGCTAAATTTGGCCCTGTTCTCTTTTCTTACCATATCTTCTCCCTAGATGGCTGTGTCCACTCTTTCAACCACCACCTACACACCGTCATGTCCCCAGTCCGCATGTCCAAGCCAGTGCTCTCTCCGGAGTCCCCCACAGACCGAGCTCCTGCCCGCATCTGCCCACCTGGTATCCTTCAGATACTTCTTCCAAACAACGTCGACGATAATCATATTGTTGTGGTTTACTGATCAACATCTATTGTAAGTGCAAAATGCACGCCCAACTCATTTAATCCTCATATCCCTACAATGCTGACACTTTCACTGTATCCCATTTTATAAAAGAACATGAAGCAGTTTCTAAACGGAAACTAATTTTACCCACACATCTCAAAACTTACCTCTTACCACATTCACCACATCACTCTTGGATACTCAGCTTAAACAGTAAAAGCCATTTCTAGGAGCACCGTTCTTACTCATTAACGCCCTCCTGATGGTACTGTCTCCCTTCTCCACCCACGGGGCGGCGGGCCTGCATCATTTCTTGGCAGGATTCCCGAAACCATATCCTCGGGATCTTTCTGGTCTCACCAGCCTGCAATTCGTCTTCCACTCCACGGCTAAGGCAATCTCCCTAACGTCCAAATTAGGTTCAGTGGCTTCCCTCCATCCTCCAGATAAAGTCAAGTCTTCTTAACAAGTCACAGCAAGCCCTTTGGGACAAGTCAGCCCCTGCCATCTTCTTCTGCTTATTGCTTATGGTTCTGAGCTTGTGGTTCCCATCATACTCACTACCTGGAGTCCCCTAAATGAGGATATCTTGTGTCTTCACCTTCGTACACATTATCCCGCCACCCAGAATACCCCTCCGGCGTCCTTTAAATTCCAGCTAGCAACTAACACAGCACCTCTCCAAGAAGCCTTCTCCTTGGCAACACTCCCCCCATCACCCCCCCATTGTGCCTCCTGCAGCAGCGCATCCTATATATAGTCCCAGCTTGATACCAACACACCTCTTTGGCCCATCTTCTAATACCATCCGCCACACTAAGCGCTGGGTGGCCAGCAGCTGTGTCTTTCTTTTCTATACCCCAACAGTCACCATCACACAGCATGCAGTGGGCTCCCCATGAGTGTTTCCATGCTGCACATGGGAGATGAGGGCTGACATCTCACCCCAGGAGCAAATGCCAACAGTGTAAGCTGTCGTTTGTATCCTCCCTTTACAGGAAGAAAAGTGGGGCCTCCTAGAGACTAACTGGCCTGACGTCATTTACCAGTAAACGATGGCGCTACAGTGGGAAACCATGTCTCACTGCAGAATCCTGGAGCTGTGCGTGAATTCTTTCCTGTTTAAATGGAACAATGAAGTTCCCTGCAAATATCCGACAGCTGCTGTAGAAAACATACTGCTTTTCCACTATGTAAGAATAAAACGGGTTTTGTGTACTTAAGGTACCAGAAATCAACATGACTGGGCTGCAAGAGACCTCTGGCATCACCGTGGGGTCTCCAAAGATGACCGGCCCAACGTCACGTTAGCTGATTAGAGGCAGAATCCAGGGTCCTCTGGTGCCCAGGACAGGACACCCCTGCCCAGGGCCACTTCCTAACAGGAGACCAGGTGTGCCCTTCATGTCGATGCTGTTTATCTGCACTTCCCAGCCGGTTCTAAAATGTGATTCACCACATTTTAAAGTTCATTAAAAACCAACTTTTTTTGCCCTGGCTGGTGTAGCTCAGTGGATTGAGCGTGGGCCTGCGAACCAAAGGGTCGCAGTTTGATTCCCAGTCAAGGCACATGCCTGGGTTGCAGGCCAGTTCCCAGCAGGGGACGCACGAGAGGCAACGATACACCGATATTTCTCTTCCTCTCTCCTTCCCTTCCCATCTAAAGATAAATAAATAAAATATTTTTTAAAAAAACTTTTTTCATTTTTTCATGAATATAAAACAATGTTTACCATAACTTCATATAACTAATTATACTCAAATATTAAAGTAATCTGTTCCCTTAGCTTACTACTCAGTCAAAAGGTCCATTAATACTCAATACAAAATACTGATGTGCAGGAATTTTTTCCCCAACGTGCAGGTTTCCAATTAACACTCTAAAATGTACTGACCAGAGAAAGAATGATAACTAATGTTAACACCTGCACACCTAGTGTGTAAATATGCACACCTAGTTCTGCAATATTCTTCACAATCAGTGGGTGACCAGTTGCTAATACATCCCTCGCATTCCTCTACCATTCCCGGGCCACAACTTCACTTACCACAAACAGAGGCCCATAGTCAAAGTCCTCACTCATGACTTCCTTTTTCAGTCCTTGCTGTTCCTGAGGTGTCCCGGTTTCTTTTTCACCCTTCTTTTCGGGGCTAATCCTTTGGATGCTGGAAACGTAGGTCCTTTCCAAACAGCCTGTGCTGTCCATTTGAACAGGGAATAGGTCTTTGCCCTTCTGAAAAGCTGAAGCCACAGACCCAGGCTCACAGGCTGAATGGGAAGAACTTGCTTTGTCAACATCTTCCTGATTTGACTTCACGGCAGATGTTGTTCTCGCAACCTTGTGGGAAGCGTTTTTAGAATGAGTTGCAACATGCTCGGCCTGGCTAGTAATGAGTTTATTAAATTGCTGCTTCTGTGTCTTGGTAATTGGGATTTCTGCTTTCGTGTCTGCGTTCGAGTCAGATCTTAGTTTTTTGCCCAGAACTGTCAATGGCCTTGAGGAGGAAATGGACGAGGGTGATGAGGCACTGGTTAGCGGAGGTCTGGGTGTGACCTTTGACAACACAGGGTCATTAGACTGTAATGCTGGTCTAGACATAACTTTTGCTTTGACGTTCTTGAAGTTTGGTCTCGGGTAACTTATGATTTTGTTTTTTCTAACTTTGCTGCCTATCGAGGCATTTGCTTTGGTCGGTGGTTTTCCTAGATTAGGTTTAGCAAGCTCTCGATTACTCTTCTCCACTTTACTACTATTCTCTGTCGCTTCAATGGGTGAAACAAAGAAGGTTGCATTCATGGGCTTGGGAACTGGCGTGGACATGCAAATTGCCTCACTCGTGCTCATGAGCATGTCACTTTCATCCCAACTCAGGTCAAATGATGAAGCCAGCCTCTGTCCTGGGGGTCTTCTTGGTACCAATTCTATGGTGTGATTTTGGATTCCCAAATCCTTTTCCTCGGAGGCAATGTATGTGTTTCCAGCCCCAGTGAGTTTATGTTCTGGGGTCAGCATCTGGGCTTCACTTTTATCCAAAGCTGGCACCAGGAAAGGGCATTCATCATCTATACGACAATCAGACACTGTCTCTCTTAGGTCATGGCCCATTTCCTTTTGCCCATAGGAGCTCTCTGAATGTGTCTCACTACTTGGTTCCTCTTTAGGTAAACAAAAGAACTCCTCCAATGCAGCCCCACTGGGGACATCCATGCCATCGGAAACTGGTGTTGGCGTATGTGTCTCTTTTTCTCCAACCAGTCTCTGCTGCGGCCCATCTGCGTACTCACTGGTGACGTTTCCTGAAGAATACTGATATGCATTTCCAATATCTGGAGCAAAAGCATCTGTTTGCATCACCATCTCAGAAAATGCCATGTAAGTTGTATCTAGGGCCTCTGAAGCTGTGGTCGAAGGGTGTTTAAAGATGTCTCTATCATGACTCGTTTCTGTCACACGTGCCTTACCAGCATGGAAAGACGTATGAACGGAACAGGACAAAGATGTATTTCCGCTTCTCAGGCCAGGTGGTTGCAGGCTTCCAGAGGCACGCAAAGACTGACTCGTTCCGATGGCATGGTGTTTAATAAAGGTGCAGTTCGCGTGATCCACTTCCCTGTCAAATGTTTGGTTTAGCTGCAAGGCAGCGGGGTAGTCTGTGCAGTTCGAGTCCTCATCATTAGGTTTCCACCCAATAGGCCAAGAGGTCTCAACACTCTGGTCCTGAGCTGACTCTGGGGAATGACAATTATTATGCAGGTACTTGGGCTCATCTGTGTTTACAACATGGGCAGAAGACTGGCATGGGGAATCTTTATGCATATATAATACCTCCGCACCAATGAAATCACTTGAAGACTTTGGGTGATCAAGTACTTCAACACTCGAAGGGTTTAAGGAAATATTCTCACCAATGTCCACAGCAGAGTCGGTTGTATAATCAACCACCATGTCATCTGGGTTGGCAGAATTCCAACCGCTGGTCAAACAGTTTTGTGTGGGTGGTGACTTTTGGTTGTATGCATAAGTGTTTCCATTTTTATCACTGATAAATAAGGTGTGCAGTTCATCTTCTGTCTGGCCTTCGGAATGATAATCATTCATCCTGAATATGAGCTTTAACTGTCTGCAGTTTTATTTCTTCTCTAAATCCTTTCAAATGAGAGAGAAGGGGAAACTGTTCATCTTCGAAGTTTTTCAGCACAGTTGAAAGTTTCTTAGTGTAAGACGTTTTGAAGCTGTTCCCTGGAAGAAATAAAATGTTTAACTCAAGGAAATGTTGGAAAATTTAACAAGTCACCACTTGATTCACTTCAATCACTTTATTTTTCCATTTAGAACCTACGACTATGCCCTGGCTGCTGTGGCTCAGTGGACTGAGCACGGGCCTGCGAACCAAAGGATCATGGTTTGATTCCCAGTCAGGGCATATGCCTGGGTTGCAGGCCAGTTCCCAGTAGGGGACACACAAGAGGCAAACAAACATTGATATTTCTCTCCCTCTCTCCTTCCCTTTCCCTTCCCCTCTAAAGATAAGTAAATAAAATCTTTTAAAAAAGAACCTATGACTATGGACACAGGTAATTCAGATGTTAAAGTATCAGCCCTTCATATAAGTACCATGCACTAACTGATTGGGCCACAGTAGTATCCTCCGTGGAGGATTGGGCTCCAGAAGTAGCCTCCCTTTTCAACGATGCTTTTTCAGGTGAGGGAATGGGGCAGAATGAAGACAGGGGTCGCCATAATTTCCCATGACTGACATCACATCTTAGATGCTTCCTCTCTACTTTCAGTGATTCTTACTTGTCATAAGAGAGAAGAAAGAGAAATCTGAAAATAGCATTTTCTTCTTGTTGGTTGAAGGAGGGACCATTGGTCCTGGTTTTTCCAGGACAGTCCTGATTTATGCCTGTTGTCCCAACATCATTAGTAATAATGTCATTTTTGTTTTTCAGAAGGGTCCCGAATGTTCCCCTGGAGGGTGACTGATTACCAGACAGAACTGGAAGGCACAGCAAATGAACTGAAGATTAATAAAGATTTAGGGCATTACCACTTCTCTTTTCCCAATTCTCATTCGATAGCTCAAACATACTCCATTTCAGAGTTGGAAAAAAAAAGTCACTGATTCTTAATAGTTAAAGTAGTACTCTACTGGAAGCTCCTAAAAATGTTAAACGGAGTTAGTGCAAGACACACCAACTCTCCTCTTAAATACCCACTGAAGAGAAATGAAAGCAAATGTCCACCCAAAAACTTGTCTCAAAATGTACATGATTCTTAATAGAAGCATTATTATTCATAATAGCCCCAAAGTAAAAACAACCCAAATGTCCATTAAGTGATAAATAGATAGCTAAACATTGTGTTTATACCATACAACTGATATATTCTTCAGCCACAGAAAGGAATGGAGTATTGATACATACAGCACGAATAGAACATGACAACTTAAAACATCATACTTAATGAAAGAAACCAGGTGCAAAAGACCACATATGACATGACGGTATTCACATGAAGTATCCAGAACAGACAAGTCTGCAGAGACAGAAAGCTGATCAGTGGGTCTGAGGTGGAAGGCGTCAGAGGGAGGAGTGACTGCTGATTGGGATGGTGCTTCACATGAGGGTAATGAAAATATTCTAAAGATGACGGTGATGCTTGGACAATGGTGTGAACATACTGAAAACTACTGAATTACAGCTTCAAAAACCATTAAAAACAACTCGTGAAAGTTGTCAAATCCAAGGACTTCTGCAAACTAATTCTTCATTATGCTTTAAATCATACTGGGATGCTTAAGAGAGGCCCAGGGGTTCACGCCAGGACACAGGCACAGGCTCACTAGAACTGACATTCTAATTCTGACATTTTGTGTTGGTCAGACGTCGTAGTTCTGTTCTGAGAAAATACAAGATCCATGGGGCGGGGGGAAGACATTCTGTAACCCGTAAGTTTGTGAATTATGGGCTGACTTATTTTTCCACCTTGTAATCTTTTTTCTGCATTCAAACTTCAGGGACCTGAATACCACCAGGAACAAAGAAACAATGGATGAACTGAGAGGACCTGCCTCTGCGCTCAGAGTGCTGTGTGCTCCTGGCCACGCATCCTGAGACCTGCCTTTACTGGAGGAAGAGAGAGGCTGCGATGTTTATCTTCACAGCACTCGTGTATGTGCGTACAAACATGTGCGTGCACACCCACTCAAAAACACGTTCTGAACCCTAAAATAAATGCTGTAAGATGGATATACTGATGGAAAATGTAAACTAGTCATCTGTCTGCTATGGTAGCTCTTTAGTCAATACAGAAATTGCTGAAATAATATTTTTTGGCTGGCACCTTAATAAAAGCTTTCATGAAACAAACTAATATGTTTAGTCCTTGGGTATGAAATATGTTCCAGCAAAATGTTTATGTTGAGAAGTACATTTGTTCATTTTCTTAGACGTATGTGGGGGGTAGGTATAATATCAAAAAGTACTAAATATGCCACACTTTTCTGCTCCCATGAAGGCCAATCCTCATTTACGAGATTCTGGGATGAGCAAATAAGAGTGACACCAACAGAAACATTTAATAAGAATCATCAAGCCCTGGCTGGTGTAGCTCAGTGGATTGAGCGCGGGCCTGCAAACCAGACAATCTCGGTTCGATTCCCAGTCAGGGCACATGCCTGGGTTGCAGGCCAGTTCCCTGCAGGCCAGTTCCCAGCAGGGGACGCATGAGAGGAAACCATACATTGATGTTTCTCTCCCTCTCTCCTTCCCTTCCCCTCTAAAGATAAATAAATTAAATTTAAAAAAAGAGAATCATCAAGTTATTTGTATAAACAGATATATTAGTTCCAACTGACAGAGCCTTTACTACCTCAGTTCCTGCTTCCAAAGTACATAAAAGGTGATTAAACGAACACGAACACAGCCCTCCCCCTGATACAAGCTGAATAGAGCAAATGATTCCTACATCGAAGCAAATGATTCATATATCCAAAATTACTTCAAGTAATTTTTAAATACCATACATTGTATAATAGGATAAATTAGGTTTAAATCCTTTCTGGTTTTCTCCTTTGTAAATAACACTGCACTGAACATCTTTGCAATCTTTGACTACCTTCGGTTATTTTCTTTGGAAAAAGTTCCTGGGAATAAAAGCATTAGTGAGACCAAGGGGTCAAAGAACATGATCTTTTAAGGCTCTTGATACAGTCTGCCAAGTTGTTAAATGAAACAAAAGGCAGGATTCTTTATAATCTATGTGTTAATATATGTATATAATAGACATACATCTTGAGTTTCTCTTTTAAAGCTCATGCACGTTGTTCAGCAGGGTTTCCCAAGCATTCTTGCACGTCACTGTAACATGAAACGTGTGTAATGGTTGTGAAATTCCAGTAAAATCTCAATGTTCTAGATTTACAGATCAGTAGTTTCTTAACGTAAGAGTAACAGAAAACCAAAGAATTTACCACCCATTCAACTTTCACATGACTGCTTAGCACGCTTGGTTGGGTCCACAATAATTTTTTTAAATTTGCAAACACAAATAAATTCCAACATTTTCTCCAGAAAACACCATAAAAAATGTGTTTAGAAGAAATACTTCAAGCAAGTTTTGATATAAAATAAATCTGCTGAAGTTCTTTCTACTTTGTAGATAAGAGTAAAGGATCTGGTGGTGCAGAGATTTGGGTACCAAAAAGATTCTGAAGTTAGGTGGGTCGGTTCCAGGATGACACTGTCACTACTCGCTAAAGAAAGCCAGAGCATCACGGCTCCATCGCTGTGAAGACAAAGCCAGGCACAGAAAGGAGCCGACCAGCCTGCCCTCCAAATTTTGTCAGAAACGTTCAAAGTCAGACATTTGGTCTCACGGTCAATTTCATTCATCCCCCGACTCTAAGACTAGCACCTAAGTGAAGCACTTGAAACAGGAGGAAAGCTGGAGCTGCTTTAGTGGATTCCAAAAGGAAATAAAAATCAAGTTGTGAAAAAAACTTGGGTTGACTCAGTGGGTCTGGGGTGGGGCCCGAGGGTCTGCTTTTCTGTCCATCTCCCCACTGATGCCGATGCTTTGGTCCAGGAGCAGCCGGGATGCAGTAGGTAGCATGAGCTAGAACCCGCCTCACCAACCAGATCAAGGCACAGAGTGGCCGGTCTGAGCCGGGCACCTTCACACCCCACTGTGCAATGTATTCGTCTAACTGGGGGCAGACTTCCCTCAACTTTGAACCCTTAACTTGTGCTTTTGAACTTTCCTCTCAGACAGCGAATACTCCATCTACAGAAAATAACTGGGGCTTTTTAGAGAGAAGCTTCCATCTAAGTCCCATTTGAGTTTATTCCTTCTGTGCGGAGGAAGTTGTTAGTGTCATATTCTCGCCCTTTTCCTGTCCTTTGACTCACATCACCCAGGAGAAATGGCGCGGCGTACAGGATGCTGGAAATTTGGGGAGAACCACCTGGCCGAGGGCTGGGGTGAAGTGAGGGCAGCGTTTGGCTTCAGGCTCTAAATTTTTTAAGGGAGGGACAGGGGACTGATATTATTGTTTTATTTAAATTATTGCAGTGACAATGATTAATGAAGTTATACAGGTTTCAAGGGTACAAGTTTATAACATACCATTTGTATATTGTATTGTGTGTTTGCACCCCAAGTCAAGTCTCCGTCTACCTCCCCCACCCTTCCTTCCTTCTGGTAGTCATCATACTGTTGTCTGTGTCTATGAGGGTTTTTTAAAAGATTTTATTTATTTTTTTAGAGAGGGGGAGGGAGAGAGAAAGAAAAGGAGAGAAATGTGTGGTTGACTCTCACATACCCCCTACTGGGGACCTGGCCCCACAACCCAGGCATGTGCCCTGACTGGGAATCGAACCAGTGACCCTTTGGTCCACAAGCTGGCCCCCAGCCACTGAACCATACCAGCCAAGAGATCCAGGAGGATTGTTTTGTTTTTTATTTAATCCTGTCAACTTTTTCATCCAGCCCCCCAACCAGCCTCACCTCTGATAACTGTCAGTCTGTTCTCTGCATCTAGGAGCCTGCTTCTAGTTTGTTAGTGTACTTTGTTCATTTGGTTCCATATATAAGTGACATCATACGTTATTTGCCCGAGGCACTAAATTTAAGAGGGGATCGGTAACAGTGCCCCACTGAGCCACACTGGAGCCCAAAACAAGGGAAAAAGTCAACTGACAGAGACCCTGTCTTTATTTTTAAATTTTGGGTTCTTT